GGAAAGCTTTTGCATTGCACTCAAAAATAAGACGTCATAAACACTGCAGGACAAAAAAGTTACATTATTTTGGTCCATTCATTTCAGTCACGTGTTTCATGTAATATTTTAATACAGCCAGATATAAAACAAAGATAGCAATGCCAGTCTGTCACAGTTTTGAAAACAGGGCAGGGGCTAACACATTTGGCGCCCTACCCTGACCCCCATTTTCAGATCTAGTATTGGCATAAATAAAACAAATACTAAAAAAAAAAGTTTTGCTGATCCAAAGTTTTCTTTGTTTGATATGTCAGAGCCAGTCGGGAATATTTAAGAGAGAGGTCAGTGAGGGTGAAACAGTCCCACCTGACAGGAAGAATGGGCTACATTATGTATGAGGCAGATACCGCGGTAACCTAGCGTTAACATCAGATTCAATACGATAATCTGTATCCAGTGTTTAAAGTGGTTTAGTAAATTTTTTATGCATTTGGAATAAATAAATATCCTCACTGTAAATGATGATATGTTCAGTTTCTTTTAATGTCAGAAACTTGGTTGCAATTTTGGCACCCCCCTCTGGGTGGGGCCTGTGGCAGCCACCTGTGTCGCCTATGGGAACCACTGTTTGAATCTATGAGCATATATTTACAGATTTATGAGGAGTTAGATCAAATTAAAACTTTTCACTGTGTAAATTTTAATCAACATAAACTTAATCAAAATAATCCGAACTTTAATCAAAAACAAACACGAGCAGTTACTTCCTGTCTACACATCGCATGACAGGTGGATATTATACCCAGCAGATCAAACCTTAATCTTCATAGGATTCTCTGACTCATGGTGTAGTAAGATATTTTCAGTCTGCCTGCATTCTGCTCCTCCATCTGCACACACAGATGAGTCTCTGGCGTCCCTGATTGGCGTCACTATCACTGCGGTGACTGCTGGAGTTGAAAGTGATCCAGAATGCAATGCTACAGCCAAGCTGTGGCTGCTAAGATTATCAGTGGCAGCAACTATGAAAGCTGCCCTGCCCAGACCTCAGCATCACTGCTGACAGGCAGTAGAAACACAGTCAAAGCAAACAAAGGCCTTCACTGGTCCACCAGACGTGACAAAGTCAACACGCCATGCCAGAACTGTTCTACTGAACATGCTCAGCAGATTTCTGTCTGGATCATATCCTGGCTCAATGAATCCATCCAGGTCTTTATGTCAATAATTACAACACGGCTGCTCTAATCCTATTCTTATTTGTGAGTAAACAAAAACTCTGATTTAGGGATTTTACTCTTAAAACTTTTTTTCCATTTTGGCAAACAAAAGCAAGCAATAAGAAATGCTGCAGAATAGCTGCAATGCCATCCAACAACTCGCCATGCAAATATTGGAGCTGGGAATTTTTATGAAGCTTTTTGAATCTCTTACCCTCGATCCAATGTCGTGCCCTTCACCTATTTCTGCAATGCCATACACACACTCTCACACACACACCAGGCTGCCACCTCAACAGCATGCTGCACTTTCTGGCACCTCTCCAAACATCTGACTGAGGCCTGTGTTGGGAGAGACTTTTTTTTTTTTTATAGCAATATTGCTCTGATGTTTCCGTCTTTTCTATTTTTGAAATTAATAAACACAAGATTGAAGATATTTCCTAATTCCTTATACTAAATGTAATACTAAAATACTGCATAATATTTGGAGTACTATTAAAAGTGGAAGTGAGAGAGATTTTTTCTTTTTTACCCTGCGGTCAGGATACACTCTTATATATCATATCTCTTACTGTTTTCTAATTCTGAAACTCTTTAGAGGTCTGGGGAGCTGTAACTTATTTCAAATGCCCTGTGTACTGTAAATGTAATAAACCCAATTTGATTAAAGTATACTTTGGATTAAGAGCAGCGTGAACAACAGCCCTCCAGCACTAATGCACATATAGCTTGTTTTGCTATCATATTTTTTGATAAATCAAATCCACTTACAGGCCATTTCTTCCGGATAAGATTATTGTAGATGAGATAGACAAGAAGTTGCAGCAGCAAAGCACCAACCCAGCTGCAGGAGGCACAAAGGCTTCCCAGAGTAAAGACAGGGATGTATCAGGGCTCATGCCGCAGCTGTAGAAAGCTCAGGAGGATCTGCAGAAGAACACTGCCAAGCTTGAGTCCAGGAGGCAGAAAAACAAGGCTGATGAACCTCAGAACTAAGAAAATGCCCACGCTGTAAAGAAGGGCATTTTGAATCCACAATGTATGTTGCTGGAGCAGGAACTGACAGTACTAATGAAGAGGGCCATCAGGTTTGTTCCCTGCATTGCGGGGAACAAAGCCATCTCCCAGCAGACCAAGTCTGTGCAAGTGGAAGAGATTGAGGAGGTCAGTACTAGAAGTGCAAAACATATACAGAAAAATAACTGCAGAATGATGAACTCAAAGAAGCAGTGCAGAGCCAGTGTTCGCTGCAACTACTAAATGTTTGACAAAAAGTCCAGAGTAAATATTTTTAACACTTCTGTGCATTAATCTCACGGCTGTAGTTGGTTTAGTAACTTGCAGCCAAACATTAGCCTCTTTTCTGCATTTACCCATCTCTCTATTGGCCGATCCATCCACTGTTGTATGCCTCACTGCATGCAACACAGCACAGCAAACTTGCGCTTTCCTGATAAAGTTGTGGTCTGTGGCATGGCACCATGTCACACACTGTTAGTCTTCCAGAAAGCCACATGGACCCACAGTGCCTGGAGCCAAACTGGCGCCATCCACTTCCTGGGCACAGGCAGGCATGAGCACACCAGCTCTATTTATAACCTCTTATTAGAGCGGAGTGTTTTCAAATGAGGCTGAAAAGATAAGACAGCGACAGGAAAAGGCCACTGTTAGGGGGGGTTACCTATCAGCAAATTTGGTTTTTATTTGTAGCAGGAAGCAGGGTCGTAATCAGCATTGGGGAGGTGGGGGGGCATTTTCAATCAACACTTTTTACAATCCAAGCCAGAGGGGTCTGAGGGGAATTCCCTCCATGCAAAATTTTTAGAAACTGAACAGCTAAATGGACTGTTAGTTAGAGCATTTGATGATGACTGAATGAATGAGGGCCACACAGGAAAAGTCCACATACTATGACTTTTTTAATGACATTTTTATGACACACACAATAACAATCTATAGTGATAGCCTACATAACACCCAAACTACATTCTAGTTTTCCACTTTTCCATACATTTGAATATTGTAATTAAGAAAATGTTGGACTGCAAAGTGCTGTTTGAGAATTGTGAGAAAAAAAAACGTAAGATGGACCTTCCTCCTCAACACTAAATCGCAAAATAATAGTTCAACATGTACAGTAATATTCTTTACTGTTATGCCCCACATACCTTCATAAAATGTTTCTACTGCAAAATTGTTTTATTAGAAGGGCAACGTGCTCCAAGACATGTCCTGCGACCTCTCCTCTTACTATTTCTGACATGAACATTCTTCAAATATGTACTTTTATTTTCAAAGTGAAGTAAATGAGCACTGCCTTACCAGAACACTTTAATGATTTTTATTTTTAATACTCAGGTTAATTTTTATCCAACTAGACAAATCAATAACCTGTAACACTTTACTTGAAGGTATCTACATAAGGGTGACATGACACTGTCATAACTATGACATGACACTGTCAACATTATGTAAACGTTTATGACTGCTGTCATTAAGTGTCATTCAGTTTTTGTAATGTCAAGCTGACATTGTTTGGGTTGACATTAAATTAGTTTGGGATGTCTTTATAATGACAACTTGACATTAATTAAAGTGACATTAGCAGAAGTTGTCTTTGTCATGACAAGTTGACATTAAATTAGTTTGGGATGTCTTTATAATGACAACTTGACATTAACATAAAGACATCTTCTGGTAATGTCACTTTGATTAATGTCAAGTTGTCATAATCAAGACAACCCAAACAAATTTAATGTCAACTTGTCATGACAAAGACAACTTCTGGTAATGTCACTTTGATTAATGTCATCAAGTTGTCATAATCAAGACAACCCAAACAATGTCAACTTGTCATTGCAAAAACCGACTGACACTTAATGGCAGCAGTCATAAACGTTTATGACATGTACATAATGTTTATGACAAGTTCATGACAGGTTCATGACCGTGTCATGTCACAGTTATGACAGTTGATCATGTCACTTATGTGCTTATGTAGTTACCTTCAAGTAAAGTGTTACCCAATAACCTTTACCTACCGATACATTGTGCACCAAGATCACAGTATTCATGAGATACTGTGGAGCCCAGCTGACTCTATGTCCTTGTCCCAGTACAAAAGGAAACTTAAAGGTGGGTTAATGACAAAAAGATTTGGAGCTGTATAAATCATCATTGTGCTATGTGGCTGCTGTGTTTCTGCATAGTGTTGATGTCTTTGGTGTTCTGTTTATTTCTCCTTAGTGGTGTTGATTGTGTTGACATTTTACTTTGCATCATGTTGTAGCTTTAAATCTAAACATATTTTATTCCTCCCTTTAGGTGAGGTACCATGGAAATCCCTTTCTGGGTTCTACTTCACCTGCACATGTTGTATTATCTTTATTTAACCATTTAACCAGGAAGTCCCATTAAGATTGACAATCTCTTTTACACGAGAGACCTAGCCAAGGTGGCAGCCAATCAGAACACATTTAGAATGCAGAACACATTCAGTTTTTATCATTTTATTTACTTTCCTCTGTTCTTTGTATCTAAATGTACAAATAAACTTAAACTTAACTAGGACCCTCACACTTTGTGTCTTTGCCATAACACTGTACTGACACCACTAAGTTTTTGATTATTGAAATATGCCATTAAAGTTTATATGTGAATATAAATATAAATATATATATACATATATATGTATTTCAATACAAAATATTACATAAACCATATACTCAGTGACGTTCATGAGCCAGAACCGATATAGTGCGCGGTCCCTTTAAGAGATACAAAACAATCGTTTACTTCCGGTATGCTAATGCTAGCGCTAACATGAATCTACTTCGAGACTCAAATGAAGTATAAAATAAATGGTTTAAATAATATATGAAAGTGCTGCTGACACAGGAGACAGTGAGGGTGTCGAGAAGTTGTTTTTTCCTTTATCCCCGAGTGTTTCGCGGTGTCATTATGATGGCAGGGAGAAAAAGAAAGATGCTAGCATCGACAGTAGCATCAGCATTAGCAGCACCTGAACAAACAGTACACAAACATAATAATCGGACGAATTTGACACTAAATGTTTCACCTGCCGAGCTGAAGAAGAAGTGTGAACCTGCCCAAAGTGCAGAGACGGAGAGGAGCCATTATTTCAGCAGGACTGACCTGCAGCACAGACTGGGAGAGGATTTCTTCAACCAACCCTGCATCAGTTTGGCAAAAGCATTCCTCGGCAAGGTAAGACTGCTGCTCCATTGAGTCATCTGTCAGTTCAGTCTCCTCAGCTCTTCATTGTAACACTGTAGCATTGTGTTTCCATAGCTATAGCCTTGGGAAAAAAATCCAAAATGCATTCACATACTTGTCTTTCAGTGTAACACTGCAACCGAAGATTATACTATGCTTAATTAATCAATCATTTGGTTTGTAAAGGGTGTGCAAATAGTGAAATATGCCCACTACAAGTTCACAGAGGCCACAGTCACATCTTCACGTCTGGTTAAGTAGGATCATCAGTCCATAACCAAAAGATATTAAATCTACCATCACAGAAGGCTTTAATAAAAGAAAATGTTCACATTTAACAAGATTGTTTTTTTTTTTGCCATTTTGGCTTTAGGTTATCAAAAGTGTTGCCAATTAATATTCTGTTGATCATTTAATCCTAAAACATGACATTATTTCACCTGAAGAGGGATTGCCTTGTTTTATTTCCTCATATATGTCTGTCTTGAAACTTCCTTGTTGTTGTTGTTTTGTGTTTTTAAATTAATATATATAATCTGTCATGCTCCTTGTCCCTGCAGGTGTTGGTCCGCAGGTGTGCAGATGGCCCTGAGCTGCGAGGGAGAATAGTGGAAACTGAAGCCTACCTGGGAGGGGAGGACAAAGCCTCTCACTCAGCAGGAGGCAAACGCACTGAAAGGAACACAGCCATGTTCATGAAGCCCGGCACAATCTATGTGTATCCAATTTATGGCATCTACCTCTGCATGAACGTGTCTAGTGAAGGTAAAAAGCATTACCCACTGAAGATGTGATTGTGATGAATGCATGCATACAAAGAATTTTTTGTTTTGTTTAATATGCCACATTAAATCATACAGTAGTGTTTTTATGGTTGGTGGGTAAAGGGCCAAAGGAAGGAGACAGAGTGGAGCCTTGCTGACTGATGCATATTGTGTGCTGTCTTCCCAGGGGAGGGTGCTGCCGTGCTGCTGCGCTCCCTCGAGCCCCTGCAGGGTCAGCCCGTCATGAGGCAGCTGAGGGCAGCCAGACGCAAAGAGGGAGCCCGGCAACTGAAGGACAAAGAGCTCTGCAACGGGCCTTCAAAGCTGTGCCAGGCTCTAAATATACCCCGCTGTTTCGACCGACGAGACCTCGCCTCGGATGGAGAAGTGTGGCTGGAGAGGGACCCTGACACAAATCCTGTAGAACCTCATGATATAGTATCAGCACCACGCATTGGGATTGAGTCCCACGGGGAATGGGCCAAGAAGCCCTGGCGGTTTTATCTTCGCAGGCACCCCTGTGTTAGCGTCGTGAATAAAGAGGCAGAGAGACAGTCTGTGTCTGGAAATGTAATGAACAATTTAGGTCCCTCCGATGTGCAGTCTGACACAGGACAGCACAATGTCAGAAGGACTTAACAGGAGTATTCCTGAAACTACTGTGCCATCTGTTTTCTTTGTGCACCATTTAGGCTGTATAAAAACTTAAGACAGTCAAGATGGTAGAATAACCTCCACTGTCTAAATTACAATCTGCATAAATTAAACAAAATGTTTATCATCCATTTTGTAATCTGCATCTTACAGTGACTGTGTTTATGGTACTGATGCAAAACTGTATTGGAGAGCGATAAATTAGAACTTCAGACAGCTAAATTTATCAAAGAAATCAATTCTCAAATGACCACACTTATTACTAAGTGTCTCTTGTTTAGGTCCTCCATGTGTGGTTTTTAATAAACATTTGTACTTGGGAAATTCTCTGCCCGGTGACTCAGTGATTTTACAGATGTTTGGAACGCTCCACTTCAGCCTGTCTGATGTTTAGAGTCTTCTTTTTTCTCGCCGTCTTTCTCTCCCAACCCTTGGGATCCCTGAGAGGTAGCTGGAGGTCTGGAATGATCATTACTCAGTGTGCCCCTCTGTGGTCAGTGCACATGATCTAACACATCTGCGACGGGAAGATGAAGTTAAATTTGGGATGCACCAACTGTGAAATTCTGGGCCGACAACGATGCCAATTTTTGAAGTAACAATTTGGGCAATACTGGTGGTGTTTTGTTGCTGTTCATTTTGTTTTTGTTTTATTTATTTCCTCTTTTGCACCAGTAAAACACAGAAATCTTCTAGACTTTCCAAATGTTATCAGACCAAATGGATTAAATCCCAATCATGAAAAGTCATTTTGTGGGGGTTGTGACACCAAAAAAAATGTATCCACTGATTTACACGTCTCTTTCGTCATGTAAGTCAATGGGAATAAGCCTTTTTGGGCCATAGTGCATCACATGACAGTGTAGGCTTCAAAGCCTAGCACACTTCCTGGGATCTGGTTATAATTTACCTTCACCCAATACTCACTTTTACTGAATAGAGTTTGAACGCATCATGATGGAACTCAATCCAACCTCTGTAAGCTGTTCATTCAGCCACCAGCTGCTGATAACTAATGTTAACTTGCTCTCCCTCTCCTGATTTCAACACATAAATGTTGTTCACAATGTAGCATTATCAGGAAAACAATAGGGTGTGTTCCCCGATAGTGAGTTTTGCATGTCCTTTTGTGCCACAGACATCCCGGGGAAGATATCTGGTCGCCCCAAACACATTTTCTACTTTCCCCAGGATGATGGGACGTCATTAGTGTTGAGCCCTGCTTTTCAGCCTGCACAAAACTGATGTGACAGAGCAGAAAAACATAAGCCACCGCCATCTGTGAATGTCATCTTGCACAACAGGTCAACAAGGTGAACATGGGTCGGTATCTGTTGGGCCAATAAATTGGTGCACCCATAAGTTAAGCCTACACTACATCCATCTTCCCAATATTCAAAGTAAGCACTTGAGACATTTCTGATAAGTACAAAATAATTTAATATTGTAAACAAACATTTGGCTCATAAAGGAAAAAAACACTTTGTACATTTCATAAATCTGCGCTCATTAAACCGTCACTGTGTCAGTTCATTTTAAATCACTGTCGAGCAATAGCACTTAGCTGTGAGCACAGCGGGCCATTAACTGCTTTCAGGCTGACATCTCTTCCAGTCGGTGAGAGCTGATACCGTCTCTGTGCCGCTACTCCATGGGTGACTGGAAGATTGAAATAATCGGGTCCTCGTGGTTGGTCACCACAAGGACACTACGGAACTTGTCAAACAGTGTCTTGAGCTGCGAGCGCCTCATGTTCTCATTGTACATAATCTCCTCCAGGTGGTGATGTCCCCGGAAATAGTGCAGCAGCCTGGAAGACATCAACAAAACGGGCAGACAAAATGTTTTGGGAGCTGAAGATTCATTGAATCATTAGCTGTGTAAATCAACCATGGGGCAGATTTTTCCTTACTGTGCAGTAGGCAGCACACAACACTGATTGCTGCATTGGGAAGCTTTCTAGACATTTCCTATTTTAAACATGCGCTCAACTAACAGCTGGCAAATGATCTCAACTCTCCCGCCAATATTTTCCAATTAGATTTCCCAATATTCTGCGAATGCAATTAAAGGACTTTATTTTCCAAACCAATGCACAAATGTCTTCTTATTTCCTGAGAGACAAAGCATTAACAGTGATTTATAACATTATGAATCATTGGGTGACTCACTAAAACGCATCCCATCTGTTAAGGCGCCTTTAGGCTGTGCAATAACAGCAATCGTGGAAGTTTATTGCAAATCACACAGTGTGAGACGGGTCTACTAAAATCTTGGTCTCAGTGTGAGACCGCTCAATGGATTGACAGCTCCCACGATTGTCAATGTTCGTCCCAGACAGCCCAAATTGCACAGTGTAAATGCGCCTTTAGTTAGACTGTTTAAAAGCAAACGGCAATGGAAAACTGAGACACAATTAAAGGTATATTATGCAGTAAAGCCACGTTTCCACCCAACATACCACTCTCAGTATAGCAAGCTTAAAACCAGAACGTAAACCATACAGACATGTACCTAAACTCTAGATCTGTTTAATGTTTCCACCACAGACAGAACGCTTTAAATGCTCCAGGTGCTCTACAGCTCCAACCTCCCCTTCGCGTGGTGCCCAAGCCGCACCCAAACAAAGCAAAATAAGAAGAAAGTAAGAAAATACAGGCAGAGAGCAGAGTCTCTGCAGATACATATACCACCACACACTACTACCATGTCCTAAGTGATGAATGACAGGGATAACTTCTGTATGAGTCCATCTATTGTGTTATTTTTCTTGGGAAATTCCTGCATAGTATACCTTTAATGCACTGACAAAAAAGCAAAGAAGATGTACTAGACTTCTGTCTTAATTACCTGGCAAACAGCCGCAGATCCTCTGGATTCTGTGCAGCAGGGATGTTAAGAATAACCTGCCTCTCATGCTCTGACAGGCTGGCGAGCAGCGTCTCTGTCATCCTCTTGTTGAGCGGAGAGTCACCACCAGGTAGTAGCTCTGCACTGGAGTTGTCCATACTGGGACTGGTGAGGGTCATGTCATCACTGCTGGCTACACACAGGATGCAAGAAGATGATCATAGATTATCTACTAGCCTGTTTTTACTCTAAGAGCTGAGCAGAGGAGAGAGCTGAGTGAGGACATACTTGGGGAGCCGAAGCTGAGGGCGCTAGGGGTGCTGAGACTGCGGCCTCCTACTCGGGCGGCCAGCGGAGGGTCTTCATCCCTCATCCCGGGCTCATCTTCGCTGGGCGGTACCAACAGGCAGACGTAAGTGTGCAGCTGGATCAGCAGGCGGCGCTGGAGCATCCACACCACCATCTGGATCAGCTGGGCCTGGTCAGGAGCAGAGCGGCAAACTGCATCACGGCCGAGCGCATGTCCCCAACCGGGTCAAACGTTTTAAATCAGCCATGGGTACCATACGAGCTCAGAATAGAGCCAAAAGAAAGAGCCCTGGCTCTGATCTTGTTCTCATGAAAAATGGAGGCTACAGAAGCTAGAGCTTATGTCACTTTGCCATTTATAATTCAGCGCTGACGCTCAAGCAGGTATGCCAAAACAAGACGAAACGGAGGAGAACACCAGATGGTTCTGCGCTTACAATACAGTATCTAAATTTACAGGAACAAGCCTACATGTGCGAGGGATTTACAAGGATACTCTAATCTCACGCTTGTTTCATTTGTGCAAAAATGTCTGATTTTTTCACAATGTCACGGCCAATGATTCTGCAGTCTAAACATTTTATATATAACTAGAAACCTTCTTTTCATAATTACATTTTTCTGAAGTAAGTTTACTTTGAAAAATAAAGTGAACTGTGAAGGTGTTTTCTTGTCTGAGCTTTTCATCAATCAATCAATGTTTGTTTTGTTGACCCTAAAAATAAAATGAATGACGGAATGAATGTACAATCATCCTACCTCCTGTGCAGGAGCTTCCAGGGGGTTTCTGAACTCAGCCAGTGAGACAGGAAGTGAGAACTTGGCTAACATGGAGGGTAGATCGTGACCAGGAAACTGTTGTGCAAACTGTTGAGCCAATGGTGAGTATCTATCCAGGGAAAGATGGTAGACATTATTCTACAACAGTGAGCTTTTCCATTAACACAGCTTTTTTTTTTAAACTCATGGTCCACAATGTTGTAAAAGAACGGCTATTTAAAGTTTAAGGTATACAGAAGAAAGTGCTGCCAATGGCCCGATTCCATTCTTTCATGACACATTTTGAGGTGATTTACAAGTGCAAATCTGACTTTGAAGCAATACCATGGATGGGTGCTCAGCAATATTATGGCTCATTGGCTCTACAGTAATGGCTACATCCCGTCACGGACACTCACAGGCAGATGTTGGCATGAGGAGACAGCATGTAGACGTTGTTCTCACACAGCGGGTAGATGATGATCGCTTTGCCCCAGTAAACCAAGTGAGCAGCAATTTGAAAGATCTGAAAGGGAAAATTATTTGCAAGTTATGTTAATGATGTGAAATAAAATGCTTACAACTGAAGACAATGATAGAAGGAAGATATAAGAAGTTCTTGTACCACTTGGACTTAAGTGATATTAGATCTGCTTCGAATGTACATACTGCATTTTGTCCACTAGATGGCAGTAACAGTAACCTTTTAATAGAGCTCATGCTTACAATATTCTTGCACTTTTTGCACTGTTTTTGTCTCATTTTCCTATTTCTAATAGTTCAGCTACAGGGATCATGATCTTCCTGATGTTAAACATACTCTAATGACACTCATTACCTTTCATATCTTTAATTTAAATGATAAAGATTTTAAAATACAAAACGATTACAATCACAACTCTTAATTTGTGATTGAGCTTAATAACTTATGTAGTTATTAATAATTTAAGTGCTTCAAATTTTAAAATAAGTGCTTTTTGAGATCAGAGAACATGTGTTTTTAAATGCCGTAGTGATGTGGCTGGTGTGACTGTCCCCCACCTGAAGTAAAGCCAGGTCAGCATCCTGTGCGAGCTGCTGCAGGTTTTTCACCGCCGAGCATGTTTTGATGAGGCGCACCATCGCGGGCGAGCAGTCCAGAGGCAGCTGGCTCAGCAGTTCCTTCTCACTTTCCAGCAGCAGCAGGGCATGATAGGGTCTGGAGGGTTAAACAACATATGATACAGCTGCTGAATCAACAGAGAAACTACTGTGGAATCCTCTTCAGCATGAGTCTGCACAACAGAGCAGCTATGTATCTGAGAGGACGGACTGACCACTCCGATTAATTAAGAATAAAATCAGAGTAAGTGCTTGAATGCACTTGAACTTATTTCACCTTTGTATATTTTGTGCAGCTTTAAAAGACAGAGATACATGCAGGGATAGATGTTGCTCACAACTCTGATGTCAGTATGCTGAAGTACCAGTACGTGGCAGTATGGTCCACACAAAACTTCTGCTGGTTTCTTCAGATCATTTAAATAATACCTGTACCTTTAGCTGTTAAAGACACACAACTACTGTGACATAACAAACTGACAATAAATTAGACTCTCAGTTTCAAGGTTTGGAGACTTCTTGTTATTCAGGTTGACCTGTGGGTCAACAGTTGGGCTGCACGATGTGAGGCAAATATGTGACATAATAATGATGTAACTTGCAACAAACAGATATTAAAGTGTACTCAGCTCTGCCTTTCTGTTGCTTTCAGTATGTTACTAAAACACAACAAAATGTTTGATTATTAAATGAAAGATAAATTATATCTGACATTGTTTTACTGGACAAACTGAACACTGAACTGTACACGAAGGGCACAAAAAATGACTAACATTTAAATGCAGTTTTCTACTGATTCTCTCTTCCAACTACCAAATCCCTGAGTGCAATATTGCAGTCTTTCACAATGTGTTTATTCCACAAGTTGACATTGTAATGATGATTAAAACAAACAAACAACTGTAACAATTCTGTGTTACTCAGTTGTCGTATACAGGCCTGTGCAGGCTGGCTGACTTAATGCAGGTGCAATGCAACTTATGCAGCTTTGGGTATTCTACCTCTCATATTCTGAGCTGACAATTACAGACTCATTTTGCAGTTTTGAACGACCTGCAGCCAAATCAAATGCACAAATTAACACGATGCTGCTTTAAGGTTTCATTCAGAAATAAATTAATTAAGAATGGATGAGTTTAAATGAACAAAAGAGTACAGAGGGAACAATCTCTCCTCAACAGATGCTGTATTTCTGTGCATAAAAGAAGGAAACTACATTAGCAACTAATATAAATACTATGAATTTCTTGAGTGGTACATTAAAATGTGGCAATTTTATATGTAATAACTGAATATCAATAATACTTTCTACATTAGAGCTGCAGAAGTTAGTTGATTCATCAATTAGTTGATGCAAAGAAAATTAATCGCCAGCTGTGTTGATAATTGATTAATTGTTTCAGTCATTTTTCAAGCAAAATTGTCAAACATTTGCTGGTTCTAGCTTCTTACATTTAACAATTTGCAGCTTTTCTTCATCATTTATGATAATTAATGATGTATGACGGAGTAAATGTGTGGTAGTCTTTGGGTTTTGGACCACTGGTTGCACAAAAGAAGCAATGTGAAGACTTTTTATAGACTAAACAACTGATTAATTGTGAGAGCATCTGTGGTCAGTTATGATAGGCAACTTTCAGTATCACACTCCACAACTGCTGATTGAGTGTAATTCTAAAAAGCCAAATACAATAATGTAGGGATGTTTTAATGTGTGCATAAAAAGTGAAAACACACCTTATAGCCTTGAGGCTGCGCTCTAGCGCCTCAGGGGGGATGTAGTTGCCGCCAATCCTGTGGATCTTGTGTGGTAAACAGAAGCTCACCTCAAGCCAGGAGTTAATATGTAGTCGCACCACGCCGGTCGTGCAAAGGCTGCAAAAACATACATATCAGCATCAGGAAAGAAAGAAAAGGAAGAAAAGAAATACCAAAACAAAAATGATAATGTATAATGTGCTTCATCACACACCTGTCATAAGCCTCCTTCAGGTCTCTGGCTAGTTTACATTTAGGAAGAATCTGTCTAAATGGGGACTGGGGGCTTCCATCCGCTTAGATCAGGACGAACAGAGAACACTGTCAGAATACACTTTCATATCTCAATTATAATATATGTTGACGACATCCTGACAGGCCACGTGGTACTATAATAAACATGCCATTACATGCTATGAATTTGAAATTATGTTAATCCTGAGGGTGCGATATGTGTGTCTCTCACTGTCTGTCACAGTGGTGATCTCATCCTGGACAGCCAACATCAGTTTGGCCTCTCTGGTCAAATACTGGCAGCGGCGCTCTTCATGCTGCAGGGCTATGGCGATACGTCGTGACAAGTTGTGCATGCAGCTGATTACAGACGGGTCAGCGTTCGCCTGTAGGAGCCAAAAATGAGAGTGTTGTTATTTTGGCAGAAACATGTTGGTAATATGCATACAGCTCACTGCATTTACAACATCTGCGCTTTAATTTGTGGCTCAATTCATGTCAATCGTTACCAGCCGGTTAACTGTTAAAGGGGTGAGCCTTTAATATAAAAATGACCTTTGAGCTTTTACAGATCTCAGCGTGCAAGTCACTTAGAGATGAATGAAACTTTACAAGACTGTAACACATCATCTAAAAGATACTTGTGCTAAATATCTAAGTGCATGTTTAATAAAGAATGCTAATCTTATTTGTTTATGTGGCTTATATCAAAAGTCAGATATATAGTTTATGAGTTTCAACTGTTCAATCACTTGTAATGCAATGCAAAATAATAATCCAGTAATAACTCCTATTAATCTAAAGCTTATTGTTCAGTTTTTATTGAGCCTGTGCCACAAAGGTTTCGCCTCACCTCTGGTATTTTGGAACATTAGTGGTGGTGCTGTATTGCATTATACTGAGAGGTATTTATAATATTCTGTTCTCCTGTGGACAATATACAATAGATAAATATAAATATATAATCGTAGTCACTGGCAAACAGCATGTCTTGGCACTGTTAAGTAGATCAGATGCCCTCATTGCCCTCATGTTCTTGGGTAAATATAAAAACATTATGGATATGGAAAATAATATAAAATTTGAATTGTTAAATGGTAAAATATACTTGGTCTCATATATATATAAATTCCAAGGGTATAACTACTGCAGTTTCTTGGGCGTATAGCATCAACACAACATGACTAAGCACTTCTTGCCCCGTGCCAGCTGTACTGGTGCTTACTGGGTACAGTGACTCAGCATGGGCAGGAACAGGCTGCACCTCATTGGGCAGCATGATTAAGCAGAATACATTGGCCCTACTCCCTCTGAGTTCCCATGTTGTCATAGATAGAGCATACAGGAATATTATCACTCAAACACACCCCTGCCACTCACAGTGCTCACTGATTAAAGGAACACAAAATATACCCACCCACAGCCAGCTGGCTTAATGTACCATGATTAAAAATTAAAAAACATACACATTTGTAATGTTCTAACATTTATACACAACTTGTTTCAGCTAGTAGAGCAAAAAAGCGAAACAATTACAATACAAAACCTAAATTATGAATGGTGTGTCATACCCGTAGTGCAAACACCACATTAAACAGGATCATCGTGGGCATTTCTCTCTTAGGTGAGGGATCTGTCTTTGAAACCTGCACAGAAAAGATAGATAAAATAAACATTTATAAAAGAATTATAGCAGGGAGCTTTCTTTATGATATAGCAAAACTTAATTCAAAGCGTAAATTCACAAATATAAAAAAAAAGCTGCACAAGCACCACTTTATGCAACAAAATGCAATAATAACTGCAGAAAATTAACCCTTCAAACCTAGAATATATATTTTTATTAAGACTGTGTCAGAGAAGTGTTGATTGAGCTCTACAATAATAAATGTGAAGTGTAAGTTGTTCCTGTTATTCACACATAAACACCTTATTATATGATATATTATTGGACTGCACTGTTTTTGTCATTTTCTTTATCACTTTTAAATAAAGTCACCCTGGCAACACAGCAATGAAGCCTCACACCAAAAAACAGTCAGCAGGGGGCACTGCTGATGTTAAACTGCTCACATAGGGGATCATAGTGACATGTGAAATGACCTTACACAGGGCCCCAGACTGCATTTTGCAACCACTTTTAGAGTCAGATATATATATAATATTTTTCACCACTACTTGCTCGTGTGCGACCCGCATATTTGCAGGCTTTTTTTTCCCTCAGAGCAGGAGCCTGCAGCAGGCTGTGGTCACGTCGGTGGCTGAATCCACATATCTACCCTCTGGACTGGCAGACTGAGCCCTCGCGGACGTCAGTTGAACGAAGTGTGACATATTTGCTGTTGTCATGTGGAGTCTGCCAGGGCAGAGACTGCAAACTGCTGATAGACAGCCCTCAACTATACTACAAGTTCAACTTTTTTTGCTGTCATTTTAATATATATGTCATATAAGCTGATGAACAGTGCCTATTCATCTGTTCCTGCAGATAATAAGATATGGATCCCACATGTAGCCTTTTTTGTTTTAACAAAAATGTATTAATATATCTACATAATAGGCTACACGTGTTAAAAAACAGAAATGTGTGTAAATAAGGACAGGACTATAACTCAATAAATTGGGCATTACTGATATTAGAAACAATGTTTTTTGCCTATTACACTACACAGCCTGATAGGCCACTAAAATAAAATAGGTTTTCAGTCCCTCTACAGCCTATACGACATATTTCCAGTTAACCCTTTGAAACCTGAGTAAATTGGTTAGGTTTCTTTCAAAAACATGTGAAGAAGGCAAAAAGCAACAGGAAAAAAAAAGACCCAAAAATTAGCAAGAAATAAATTAGTAAACAAAAAATTAAAGTTAAAAACAAAGGATATGACCTGGAAAAAGATGTTTTAAAAAAAATAATAATTCTGGAACAGAATTTTAAATATATAATAATTATTAATATACGTTTTCTTTGTTTTGTCTTTTTTCCTCAGTTTTTCAAAAATAATTTTCTTTGTCTAATAATTTTTTGCCATTTCTGGAATATTCCTTACCAAGTTGTTCACTGCCATTTTCCCCCATGTTTTTGAGAAAAATTGCATTAACTTGCTCAGGGTTTAAAGGTTTGAATACTTGTTAAAGGCGTCTGACAGCAGCACAAGAAAAGTGTTGTCACTCCAGGTTTCAAAGGGTTAATTATGATAGACTGATTTATGAAAATGCTTTGCTTTTATACATTTTTCTCAAACAGGCACTCTGTCTACTCTCGTATTGATTAATTTTCTAATTACACATTCTCTGATCAATAACACTGGAGTCTGTAACACTGGTGCAATAGCTATATCCGATCATGCTCCTGTTGATCTTGTGGTCACAACTGGCAACAAGGAAGAGAGAACCCAAACATGGAGAATGAACACCAGCTTTCTACAGGACAAAAGCCTCAAAAATCATATTTAATTGTGTTTCCGAAACAAACGAAGACAGTGCTCGTCGATAAAGTTCAGGGGAGTCTTAATTCGACAAAATTAATTAAATTAATATAGTGTAGGAGTAGTGGTTCCAGTTGTTAATACAATTTAGTAATAACTAATAAGTAACGTAAGTAGCTACAAATTACAGGTGTACTCTGAACATCTCACATGCAGACTATGGATAGACATTATAATTTACAAATGTTCCCATAACATCTTACATGCAGGCTACTGCTACTGGCGGCGACAGACGATTGTTGTGTCAAGCGACTCCACATTGCATTGCATATTTTTCTGAATTTATGAACAATTCTGTCAAAATCAGCAGGGGCAGTCACATAGAAACAGCTGATGCAGCATGTAGGCACACGCACCAGCTACGTCACCTAATGTTATCCCCACGTGGGGCAAACATGGCCAGAAAGAATATATTTATTCCAACCAGAGAGACACGATCAGAGTAAGCACTGACATGGTTATAAGGGGCAAATAGTTTACTACAGAACTTATCTTTACACCCACTCAAAAATTCCTACTGATAAGGCCAGTCTCCTCCACTTGAGGTGGCTACGTGAGGCATTTTAGTCTGACTGGGCAAGTTTAGTTGATTCAAAACACGCCCAAAACACACATTAAACATGGCTTAACAGAGACAATTTCAAACACAATTACACAAATAAGCTTCACTATAACTCGCAGCATGCACAGACAAACACTTGTTTTTATCTGGACACATTTTCCAAACAAATACAACATGCTAACATTAGCACAAGCCAATGGCATTTTACATTGTATAAATTAGCCTAGCAACTAGCGGAGATTTCCTCTGCTCATATGAAGCCAGAATAAATCACACACAAGACTTAAAATGCTATTTTTGTGGAGGCTTTATTGTCTTCACAATTTATTGTTTCTTATCTGTGAAATTAAAGTAAATAAAAGCTTCATTTCCACTGAGGGCAATGGGTTCAGCCTACAAAAATAAACAGGAGGTCTGCATAGCTGCGATGTGTAGTTACATTTCTGGGGAGGTGCACATCAGGCTATGGCGTAGGCTACGGCGTAGGTTACGGTGTAGTATAAATTCTGGAACTTTAGCTCACATCAAGAATGACTTTACATGTTTTCAGTAGGATCCCAAATAACTTCTTACCTGGATGATGGGAGGATGCTGCAGGAGAGTAGGGTGACCCACAAATCGAACATTGTCTATCTTCAGTTCAAACTTCTTCCCGCACATGTCTGATTTGGTGGCCAGGATGGTGGCGAGGATGATGTCGGAGAACCTTGAAGAAGGAGGAACAGCCTCGGTAAGAAAAGTGTGCGGGGTGGGATGAGGGATGAGAGGTGACAGCACAGAAAACAGCTGGGACAAGTCAGAGAGTTTAAATTAGCTGTTTGTTTTACATTTTCGACATTCCTGTCTACGAGAGGGGTTGCGTTAATCAGATGCCTCTGCCTGTAATGTAACAGTACGAATAAAAAAAGCTTGTGTGGCTACTGGAGAGGAGAAAAGAGGAGGAGGCCTCCTTGCAGAAACAGTGAAGTCGCTGTATGAATGAAGAATGTGAAAGACACATGCTGGTTTGACTTAAGTAACTCATGCTGCAATCAAGGGGATAAAAATCAAGGCGTTAACTTCAAGACAAAAATTAAACACACTATAGACTTACCTTGAAACACAATTTAAAAAGAATGTGTAGTTATTGTAGTTTGCATTTGATTTATATTTCGTTTTGTAATGCTGACTCTATATGCTAGAGGTAATATAATCAATGGGAATTAAAACTTTAATTAGATTTTTTAAACTTGGATTTTTCTTTTCTTTTTTTTTTTAAACGGCATACAGTACAGAGGAAAGCAAAACAGAAATCCTGAATTAACCAAAGCACTGATTCACTGGATCTGGTACTGATAGTTTACAAGGATTTCACTGAGATTAGGGTTGGGGATCCATATAGGACACAAAATAGGAAAGAAGGGGATAAAAAAAGACAGGGGTGATCTAAGCGAAGGAAAGGTGGTTTAGAATGATTTGGTCTTACCCTGCTACCAACTGTTCGTCAGTTAGCGGAGATTGTTCTCTGAAATGGGAATTGGGCCATAAAAAAGAAGAAAAAAAGCAAACAAAAGGGAAAATGCAACACACAGTCGGGCTGAATGCATAAAAATGGACATCAAAACAACCCAAACAAACATGTGATAACGTGATGTGAGAATGCTGGTCTGCATGTTGATTCAAGCCAATTACCAGGTTACCCTGACTTAGCCTGAATGTCATTAACATATGCCAGCTGATATAACTGAGTGGGCTTATGTGCCAACTAAACACTGTCATAAGGGAAACTAAAAATGTTCACAATGTACTCAAAAAGACACAGTGAAGCTACTTTCTGCATACCCGACCAGCCACTTAAAGGAATACCCAAAATGATCATTTGCCAATACTACTTTGAATTTGTGAGGACTTTGGGGAGTTATGAAGACATCTTCTCTGTACTGGAGTTAAAAAAGAGTATATTGGCTACTGGGGGAGGCTGATAGACGGTGAACAGACTAAACTCAGTCAAATAATGTACAACTTTTTGCTCAGCCTGCATAATACGGGTGTGTATGTGTCACCATGGGTCTTACAGGTTAAACAGATATTGGATGAATGTGGCTTGTCTCACCTCTGGTTCACACAAAAGTGTAAGAATTTAAACTGGAGACATATCTGTTGCATGAAAACCAAAAGTACAGACAGGCTATTTGTAATTTTAGAGTAAATAACACCAGAATTCCTACAGCTGCTGGAAGATATAAAGGGCTGGACAGTAACCAGAGGATCTGCAGCGCTGTGATGATAATTGTCAGAATGTGAGCTTAATGACTTACAGAGAAAAGTATTTGCCAAAGTATTATTTAAACTGTCCATCTATCTTTAAGTTAATTTTGTTATTACAACCAGATAAGCCAAAAGTAATTTGGAAACTAGGAGCTTTTTGAGAAATGTCCTTCCTTTGTCTAAGTTTAATAGTTTTATGTTTTATTATTGCGTGTAATGTTTGTACTCCATACTATGTGATATGGTCGTGAGTCAAATAAATGCAATAAATGAAATGAAAACGGTATATTCCAAGTCTCCCATAAACAGTGCAGGCGTGCTACTTGTCCGTGTGTGAGAATGTTTATGAAAAAGTGTTTTAGGACCAGCATTTTTGGCCTCTCACCTAATCGCAAACTGAGTTTTTGGTCACTAAAATTGAGATTTGTTTGCCTTCTAAAGGGCAGTTTAGAACACACAGATACACAGTTACTGTGTATCTGTGTGGACATGCACAACAGAGTGTGTGGGATATCTCCTTAATTTCTGCATGACCATTGTTGCTTTGTATAATGAGCATGCACCAGAAACAATAACAGCAGCAGACTAACTTACCAGTTTGTTTACAAATTTTAGCACTGCTTGGACTAATGACTACTTTATACTTAATCTTAGTATTGCCGCACCACTTAATGGATGAACGGCAGTATCTCGTCCCACCAGCAGCTGGTGGGACGATTTTAATAGTGGGAGTGGAATGAAAACTTGCATGTCCAGAGCATCACTAGTATCTTAGAGTAAGCTCCTTTGTCTTTATAGCAAAGGCAAATCAATGGTGATGAGATCTCCAGTGGGTGTTCTGAAAAAGCTAATGATAGCCTGTACACTTTTAACTTAGTGACGAGGGGAGACTGTGGAAGACAGCCGACACCGACAAGCCTTGGGTGTTGTTTTTGCGTTCTAGTGTGGACAGAGATATTCTGTAAAACAAAGGTCGTGTAGACTAACTTGTTTTAAATAACGTTTTAAAAAAATATCTCTATACATGTAGACAGGGCCCTAAATAGTAAGGGAAGTATTGAGCATACAACTGGATAAATGAGACTTATACTGTGCGAGTTGTGTGAGAGTTTGTAAAAGGATGTTTAAATACATAGTTTTGCTGCTGTTAAACACAGCCTATACTACTCAAATTCATCTAAAATTTCCGCTGTGAAGAAAAGTTTTTCTATATAGTCAACATAATGTGAAGTGTGTAATTAATATGCAAATAATCATTTGGGGGGTGAAGTATTCCTTTAAGGGGAGTCGCCCAAGGTTAATAGGGTAAAATCTGTAACTAGTAGATATCACCATGAAACTTCCGCAGTTGATTACTTAGAGTAAGACAATTATTTTTTATATTACAAGTTTTCTGAATTTTATGTTTGAATATCCAAATATGTGCTGATTCCCCGAACAAAAATTTGGATATTGCATAGAGCCTGGGTCGAAATTCTTGTTTCATTTTGTTGTCATATTTAGTCAAAGATTTTACAGAGGGAATTTTGGATATCTCTTTTTATCACTCCATATATCAGAAAATACTCCCAACAGCTATAGAAAAAAATCATTTTTTGCCATGTTTTTAGGAATAAAATGTTAAATAAATTGGACTATGAATAATAAATGAACACATCCCCGTGTCAAAAACCCTTCAGAATATAGATAGGATCATAAGTGGAAAGTTTGGTGTATGAGTGGTACTGAGGTGGAGATTTCTGGAGTATGAGGAAAAAAATAATTTTGAGAAAATGGCCTTTAAGACATATATCGTAAATTGTTAAATTCCATACGTTTTTAGGTTAAAAAAATAAGACACTAGTGTAAAATTTTTAACTAACAGATGTATTTATCCCCTGCTGATAAATTACATTAAGACATTTTTTTTTGTATCATAAGTTTTCTCAAATTTTAGGGTTAAAGGGTCACTAAACCTATTTTCAAAATTCAAATGTTATTTCTTTGGTCCAAGACAGTCCAACAATGTTAGTAAACATGAACAACTCTCTTCCAAATCAAAAAGCTAGAGTGCTATAAAGAAACTGTATGATGTCATAGGGTATAAAGAGTTTGGAACTGACTGAGAGCGTGCAGCGTTTTGAGCATATGGGTACATTTTCTGTTTGTGATGTTTCACATCACACGCTTAAGACACTCTGGTTTTTGGCTTTAAGAGAGAGTAGCTCATGTTCACAAATATTGATTAACTTTCCTCGGTCATGGAAATAACACATTGGAATTCTGCAAATTATGCATTGGCTAATTAAATTTGTGCTTTTGCATACATTTCCAGAACAGAAATCTAATCTTAAATAAATACCTAAATGGGTATTTTGGACGTTTTTTCCCACTGGTCTGAAAGAAGACATGTTATGGAAGCAAGTTAACTCAAATTCTCAAAACAAGTGCATGAAAAATCTATGTTTTCACCTGTGGTGTCTCACCTTAAATACTGAAAATCACTTAATATTGGCTTTTATAAAACTGTTACCTTATGACTTCAACCTATCTCATACTTCATTCTCAAAGCTCTTTGTGCTGTTTACAGTTCTGTATCCCAGTCCAACCTCACTACAGGGTCATATAAGGTTGTAGTCTTTTCTCAGATAAGCCTGTTTGATGTGCAGTCTGCGGACCAAAAACCAAGTTGCGCCAGCTTTATCTGCATGGTGAGCTGAACTGATAAATAAAGACCTTAAATTATCTGCTCCTTACAGCCTTGTGACCAACGTAATTTCAGCCAACCAACAACTGACCAGCATTACCATCCATAAGGTGGAACCAATGATGAAAACTAAATGCTGTTGGAAAAAGGTTTTCTGTCTAATATTATCATTTTGTTTTTATTTTTATTAACAGACATCAACAACAGGGAGGATTTCAAATTATGTCCATGTTTCCATGCTTTGGGAAACTCTCCTGTTTTTACAATTCTTGGTTATTTTATAGTGTCTATTTGTGGCTACATTATAGTTTTTTTTTAACATATTTGTGTTTGTTATCTTATCAACAGTTTCTTATCCCAACATTCATGTTTAACTTAAAAGGAGTTTGATGTGGTTTAACTTCTTTACTCCGTATTTAACTTCTTTATTATGAGCCCCATTTTCTGACTACCGGAGCCAACAAAAAATATAGTCATCTGAATGGGAGGTTTGTTTTTTGTACCAGCTGAATTAAGCAAGCATATTCAAACAGCAGCTGGTGCTATGACAAATTTCAAAGGACATTTAGACACATGGTGAGGGGATAGCTTTGGGTTTTGGAGCACTACCAATACAGCATTTTCATTCATTCATTCATTTATTAGCCGTAACCACTTATCCTGTTAAGGGTCGCCACGGGACTGAAACCTATCCCAGGGCCAACACATGGAGACAGACAACTATTCATGCTCATTTTCACACCTACGGGCAATTTCGGCTGAATCCAAATGTCCACTCTCTGGACTTGCAGACTGTGACGAGTTCAACGTCATCACGTAAAGTCGTGATGAGGGCAGAGACCGCACACCGCTGACAGACAGCCCTCGAGACTGTTTTACGCGTTGCCATGAAAACATTTGAGCAATGATTACAACCATTGTAACTGCTGTCTGCTGAACTGTCCCTGCAGATAATAAAATTTAAATCCCATGTAAAGGGTTATTCTGTGAGTGAACAAAATAAATTTCTGTACAACATATAGACTGCAGACATTCAAATACAAAGATGTTTGTAAGTAAGGACTGAGCTATGACTAAAGAAAATCAGGGACGCCTATTAGTTACATCAGAGGATCTTCTTTAGTTGTTTTTCTACCATTTTTTAGCCTATATATTTGGCATTGTGCAACCTATAGGGCAAGCTGCAATAACACAATGCATTTTGATTCCCCTCTGCAGCTTATATTTCTAAATATTTTTCTGTCATGATGTTGTTGAATATTATTTCTGGCCTCATGACTGAAATATTGTTTTACTAGGCTACAGTAAGTGTGTTACATAAACATAAGTTTTGTTTTTTGAGTCGGCTATTGAAAAAAATAACTACCACGTCATCTCCGTATTGCAATGAAATGTAGGCAATTAAATCAGTGAAATATGTTGAGGTCTGCACCCCAAGCGGACTCTCTGGAAGTCTGCAGAAAGTCTGCTTTGGGCCCCTTGTGGACTGGTTGAATTGTGGATTTGGACAGCCCTAAGCCCTCCCTGACTTCCTGGGCACGCGCCCAAAAAGTCTGCAAGTCTCCAAGTGTGGTGAAGTCTGGACATTTGGATTGAGCCTTAGAGTCACCAGTTATCTTAACCTGTACGTTTTAGGACTGTGAGAGGAAGCCAGAGAACCCGGAGAAAACCCACACTGACATGGGGAGAACATGCAAACTCCACACAGAAGAGCCCCAGCCAACAAGCCAATGGGTTAGAATCCAGAAAGCTCTTACTGTGCTAACCACCGTACCACTGTGCCACCCCATACAGCATTTTTAAAAGAAAATGAAGGACTTAAATGAAACTCAGCCACATGGGTTAAAATACGCATGGGCCAGCTCATTAATTCCTCTTGAAAAATACAATAAGGTTTTTGAAAAAAATAAAAAGAGATCCAATGCTAGGGAGGAAAAACCTGATAAGAGTCAGTGGTTCAAGCAGACCTTAGAATTGGCTGCGTCCACCTACAGTTACTCTATAAACTAATGTATACACCCAGTAATATCAAATGACCAGACCAGTAAAATACCTTGAGTCACCATCCTGATCTTCAAGACCATCCCCGGTTGTGTTCAGAGCATATGGACTCCGTTGTTTTGCTTGTGGACAGAAATAATAGTGTTAGCACCAACAAGAAAACACATTGGTTGAGATGTTGCCCCCTTAAGAGCCACAAAAAACAATCTTAATGTCAAACATGTCAGAGATGTGTTATAAAACTCTGCTCTTTTATTATATGAACCTATACCTTACAACTTGTTGTGGTTGAGGGCCTTTATCTCTGTTGATATAAGTCATTTGTGACCACTGTTGCTCTTTGTCAAAACCATTTCCCCATGTTTTAAAGTCATTCTTGGCCTACCATTGCCATACTAGGTATGCCTCCAACTTGTCTTATGTTGCTATGAAAACAACTTGTCAGACCTCAGACATGCTACTAGTTTGAACATATAATTCGGATAACTTTGTTTAACAGGGTGTGGACAAAATAATAAGCACACAAAAAGAGACACTATATTTAAAAGTAGCTAAACTGCAGTTTACAGTAAGCCTAGAAACAACAACAGCCTTCCACTATGCAAAACAACAGGAAATGGTTTCTTAAAAAGAAGAACAGTAGACACTAGTGGGCCTTCCCTACACATACTGACACAAATGTCATATTTGCTTTTAACTAAAAACTGTGGCTTTACAGATTACAGTGACAGTCTAATAACTGAATGCATTACAGAGGTAAAATATATTTCTGGGCTGTTGTTTGGGAGTGTATCTGTGCTGCCAGGGCCCTGTGTTTCCCAGCTTAATATCTTCTAAGTGTGACACCTTGA